AAAAAAAAAAAAAAAATATTAAATCACCTATAAATTTAAAAATAGGAAAATATATTCTACTTTTAAAAGCAGATCTTTTAAAAGCAGATCTGTTACGAATTTTTATGATTTTTCGTACAATTCTCCACAAAAGCGATAAAAATACATGGAAACGAATTGTAAAGTTAAAAGTGGAACGATATGCACGTTATAAATGTATCACAATTATATACAACGCACCTGTAATACCCTGAAATATGTGTATGTCACCATCTACTCCACTTTCATCCACAAACTTACTCAATCACAAGACCTTCTTTTATCGATTACAAACATTTTGCACAACCAAGCACCGTTTTCTTATTCCTTTCTATTTTTTTATCCACCCCGATGTAGCACACAAGTTACATAATTTTCCACTACAATATAGGAACGAAGAGATTAATTAACGAGCGCGTGGTGACACTGCCGACCGAAAGGCACGTTCTGACACGTGCTTCAACTCGAGGCTGTGGCACTGATCCGATCTCGCGCGTTTACAGAGACAAGTAAGGTATGTGTATACAACTCACCTGTTATGGTACGAGGTAAAGATCGTAATGTAAGTCGAAGGCTATATTAGCCAAATAAGAAAATACAATATAGACAGGGGAAAATCACGAAGAGGAAATGAACACGATCGACAGTAACAATGACGCTCCCTCACGAGGGAAGCAACTGCAGAGGCATACTGGGGAACAAGCGGCTCAATGAACACAACAAGGGGGAGGATGGTCGGCGGATGGACGAACGAACGAACGAACGACTCGACTCGAGTCGAGTCAGCCTCGACACCCCGGGGCGTATCGGCGCCTATGGGCAGCGCCATACCCGACCGCGACACACGTTCAAGAGAGAAAAAGATAGAGAGGGGGAAAAGAGCGAGAGAGACGAAATACACGAGGAAGACAGAGTGATTCCAAGAGACGAGGGAAGGAGGAGGGAGGGAAGATTTACGCAACCCTCTCTCGCCGAGCGAAAATCCACGTCGAGAGGCACGCTGTCGTCGATGTGTCGATAAGCCACGTAGTATCCTCCTCCTTATGCGTGCTTCATTTTTTTTTTTCCATGTTTTTCCAAGAAACTGTGAAACTAACCTCTCTCTTTTTACCCCGAGAACATTTCCTTTTTCTGTTACTCTTATTGTGTTAACCCTTTCTACGTACACATATATACACACACACACACGCACACATACACACATGCAGACACAATATCGCGCTATGGCGTGCGCACACACACGCACAAAGAACGCACACATACACAATTATGAGCGTATAAACATACGAAGCACTGGCAAATATTCTTGATTCGAATTTACACCACACACAGCAGCAACTAGTATGACGATGATGACAACGAGGACGACGACGACGACGGCGACGACGACGACGACGACGACGACGACGACAACGGCGACAACGGCGAGGACGACGACGACGACGACGACGACAACGGCGACAACGGCGAGGACGACGACGACGACGACGACGACAATAACAATGACGACGATCACACGACACGAATAATGAAACTAAAGAAACGAGGGAAGAATAGAGCAAGAGAGCGAAAGGTGAAAGATAGGTGCACAAATAAAGAGGGAGAAAGCGTTGAGAAAGTATGAGAGAGAAAGAGGCGTCCTCTTCTCCGCACTAGTAATATTGATTCGTAGGGTAGGCACGATGGCAACGACCCTACCTGGTTTGACGAAACGAGCTCGAAGCGCACGGTACATTTTTCAGCTTATCGACACCGCCCGGTTTTTCCCGATGACACCCGAGTTCCGGAACACCTCGATTCTATTTAATACACGGTAGGTTGGAAAATTGACACTATTGGCACCACGTC